TATATATATAACCCTATATCTAACTCGATTAGTTTTAGGTGATACAAACAACCGTTAGGTGAAAAAAACTATTATACTATGTAGCAACATGTCGAGAGTATAAAAATGTAACGAAAGCGTTAAACTTCATTGTTCGACGAAATCGGGAAAGAATTACAATCACAATTATACTTAAATCATCCCCAAATGAGAAATATGTGATATAAACTTAACCGAAGAGACTAAATTTAATATATAATATTAAGTTGTGACAAACGTCAACCAAATAATCGGAATTGATATTAGGAATGTGAGGTTTAGACCAAAACCCAGTTTTATTTCTATTGGGTGCCAAACCACTAATATTATTGTATAACTTTTAAGAAAATGTGTCAACTTAATTTCTCACATTTTGGCCAACCCACGGTATTGGGGACAGAGAAATCATTGGACTGATTGCATTAATTTTTGACATTTCTCAGGTATACTTGAGAACTTATTTTCAAGAAATTTTATAAATATATGTACATATAAATATAAACATATATAGTCAGCCGGATGTTTAAAAACCTTGAACATCGATTATATGGGGACTAAGACAAGTTTTTGACAAATGAGTATATTAATATAGAAGAAACATCTTCCTTGAATCTCACAAATTTACCGATATTTTCGACAAAAAGTCAACCATACGCACTGGGGTCCACTTAGTCAGTATGTGGGGGCTTGAACAGTTATGGTCCGATTTTGACAATTTTTAGACTCGAAATGGCATACCTCAAAGGCCCTATTTATACAAAATTTTATCTGATTATATTCATAGGTGCTTGATTTGTGTACTGGTAAGTGAAAGAATCATATGGAAATTAAAGTTGTGCTAGATAAGAAGTAGGCGTGTTGTAGTTCAATTGCCCCCATTTTCACAACGTAACATATGATTGGTCGAGTAGGTCCGGAGATATGCTGTCTTCGATTCGTGGTCGAGAGTAGTGAATCGAACTAACTATACCGGTAGGTCGGACAAACTGATAACCTTGCGGTGTAACCCTGCGCTAACATGCCTTCTATCGCATAGTTTTATTTTCTATGAAAAATTATAATTTATTTATTATTGAAACGGATTTCTCGATAAACTTGTATCTTCTTGCTAATGTCTCAATTGGGCTTAACACGATAACACTCTAACTAGAACTGTGTTTGGTACACAGTCCAGCAGCCCTTATATAGTAAATATTTAACAAGAGTTCGCTACTAGAACGTTTTGGCAACTACGAATTCGCAGTCTCTTCGTCCATATCATCATTCGCTGCTTAAAAGAAATTGTGACCTTTACATTTCTTTACTATTTTTTAGTAACTAGTTGGATATCCAACTAATTTGGCTGTTGTTTCTGAGCTTATAGCTTCCCATTCTTCTTTAAGCGTGTCCTCGCTGGTTATAGTAAGCTGCTAATTTTTCACTTTAGTGCTGTGTGCTTCGGATCGTTGTCTTGTTGGAAAATAAATCGTTCACCTAGTCCCAACTTGACTGAACTTTCTTTTAAATTTGTTTTTAAAATATCAAGATGACAATATTTGTTCATTATCGACTCAATAAACTGAAAATTTGCAACGATCAAACTTGCCATTGAAACCCACATAGCATTTCCACCACCATGCTTTACCGTAAGTACGAGATTTTGCTTATCCAGTGCTGTTCAACTTTTCCTCCAAATAATTCTACATCCTTTTCTTCCAAAGATACAGAACTTACTCTCATATGAAAATATAACGCTTTTCCAAAACTGGAGACTTGTTTAAGTGCTCTTTTGCAAAGGCCATCCTCTTAAGTCGATTTACTCTCGATATGTAGGGCTTTCTACGTCCACTCTGCCACGAAATCCGGATCTTTTCAGAACTTTTCGTACTGTATCTGAACATAATTTCTTTTGGTATTTAAATTCGATGTCTTTTGAAATTTGGCTTACTGTCAGTCGTGGATTACATTTCAGAAGAGTGGTTATATTGGGCTCTTCTCTTTCACTTAGTTTTTTTGGACACCCAGATCGTGGCTTAAACTCATGACATTTTGTTTGCTTGCAATTGCTTAACATTCTCTGGACTGAGTAGTACTATCTCTCAACAGTTTTCGAGATTTCTTAATAACTTTAAATATTAAAATTGATCTAAAAGACTTGTACTTTTCATACAACTAACCATCGATATCTAAAGTGAACGCACACTTTCTCTGCTTAACCCACTTAAATAGCGGTACTAAAATCCCGTAAACTGAGAACGCCGCAGCTAAAATTATAAAAAAATTTTGCCCATACACTCATCGAAGAATTGTCTTCAAAACAATAGAACAGAAATTAATGAACTTTTAATTTGCATATATTTTTTTGTTGAATGCTTAAATACAGCAGTGGGTGAACGCAGACTTTTTCTGCCATGTGTATGTACATAAATAATTAGAAAAATTCACTTCCCGCTCACTCATTTGTAATCTTCGCGTCAAATAAGACGAATTAAAAAAAAATATTTTCATTTTTGAGGTCTCCTTCGTTAAGGGACCAAAACTATACATTTACCCATATTTCAATATACATATAAACACACACCGATCGAAAACACTTGTATATCGTTTATGACCACTTTTGTTAGTATAATAAATTAGCGGTGGAGGCCACACCTTTTAAAAGAGTAAAAACGCGTGTACTGATAGCCTATTGACTCTTTCCTGGCTGATTCTTAGGCTTGTTCCCCAAAACTAAAAAATTATCCCATTATTTACTTGCATATGTATATAGACACTATGACGATTTCTATTTCAGTAGAAAATAATATTTCACCTATCTTTGTGCCGATCTACTTTTCAACATAGATAAAATGATCCGAAACTCCTTTCTTGTCTTCTGAGAGAGCTCATGAACTTTCAGTGTTGCCGAAAAAACCACGAATTCATGAGCTACTGAACAGATGACAATCAAAACAATGAACTACCACTAAGAATCCCGCAGAAATAAATTGCGAAATCAGTGGGTAATTTGTGAGATCAGATTTTTATGTGACTTTCTAATCTTTATTTAAATCGTTTTGTTTTTAAGAAAGAGCGGGTATTTTGTCGCAGAGTATTGTTTTGCTTAGCAGTACCAATAGTTAGGCTAGAATTCCCAGCATATGTTATATAAACTTTGACTTCCGAATAAATTCTCAAAATATATTTGTTTATTCAGTATATTAAAACTAAGTAATGTTCATGTTTAGCTTATTTAAAACTTGAAAGTGTTTTGATATATTAAAATTAGTTATAATAATTAATTAGAAAATCTTTTGTGATTAAAATATACACGTACATATATTTAGAAGTCATATAGGATATCTAGCTTGTTAAACTAATTTTAATTATGCATATTTTTCTGTAAAATGGAAACCGAAAAATGCCTAAGAAATACATTAAAAAATCTCAAAACGTATTTCTTTCACTAGTGGCACCATTATCAAATGTTATAAAAAATGTGGACTTTGACAGCGCTCTCTCAAATCA